GCTGATGGCTGGTGTGAGAATCTTAATTGAAGTGACAGCAAGACTTTGCCAGTTAAGTATATTTTTATGTCAAGAAGAAAAAATAGAAAATGTCAAACTATACCTAAAAGTAGCTACAAGCATGTAAGCTAATAAAATTAGTTTGCCCTTCATTCTTTAAAAGTCTCAGCTCTTCCTGTAAATAGTCAACTTCCTACAATTCCTAAAAGTTCAGTAAGAGTTGAAAGCACTTAGTAACTGCAGGAAGTTGCTCAGCACTGCGCCATGGTGTTTATAGAGCAGAGTTTGAAAGTCTGGTTGGTATGACAGGTTCTTCAGAGAGAGACATCTTCAAACAAAGAAGATTCTTTCTCAAGCGTAAGTCTTCAGGGATTCACTGTAAGTCACATAGCTCTTAACACATTTAGGTTGATTGAATGTGAGGGTGTTATATGTAGACATCAACTTTCAAAAGGGCTGTGATTTAGAGAGCTGCAGGTGTTGCTTTTGTAAATTTCATAGAGTTCAGTGCCAAAAGAGGACACAGCGTGAAAAATTATAAGCAGATCAACTAAAGTGTTTTTGTTTTTCAATAAGAATGTACTGAAGAAAGCCTTGTCAATGTCTGTGACTTATCTTTCCACTTCTGTAAAACATGGTACAGATGTAACTGTCTGGTCTGACTTTTAGTCACAATATTTAGCTACCTGAAAAATAAAGTATAATGAGACACTATACATTTCTCCTTGTTCAGTCTTTCCCAGTTTTGGAACTGTGAGCCTTTGAAAGGAGATGACATACTCAATTATTATCAAGTAAAGTTTTTATCTGTCGTTTGATCATTTGTGACAGCAGATGAAATATAAAAAGACTAAACTTGCACTACAGAATTAGCCTGCAAAATATACTGGCATGTATCCAACACACAAAATATAAATTATCTCTCAGAAGTTTCTGACTAATATTTTTACGGTTTTCAGGTAAGATCAGCCAAAGCTGTGGTGACATCACATTTCTGTAGTATCTTTCAGAATGTTACATATCATGCTCTCCTGGAAAAGGAATCTTAGAGTCCAAGAGTTCTGCTGTGACCTGGAGTACTGGGAAAAAGGATAGTGTCTTAGTGTGTGTTAGTCTTAGCTTCAAATGTTTATAGATCATACTTGCTCCTTTTGTGAATCAATATAATTCCACTGACTTCAATGGAGCTATGCCAAGTTAACACCAGCAGATGTATCCAGTCTTTTGTTTTGTATCAAAACTCACATCTTCTAAAGGTTATTTTAGGCTCTATACTGGGCAAATTGTTGTGACTGTGAAAGTGTTATTCTGGTTTCAGAAAAGGATTTCTGCAGGATGGTGACAGCACAAACCAGCTTCTTCTACCTTGTCAGTATGGCCCAGCTTTCTGTTTGAAGAGCTTTTTCAGTAATTTGTAAAGTCAGAAGAAAGCACTGTGATAATTTACTTTGACTTTCTGTATAGAGAGAGGTCATCATAATTTCTTGGCCCAAATCAGGAAAGCATCCTACCTCAATTTAGACATTATTATTATTGACAATTTTACAGGATGTATATTACTTTCCCTTTTTATTTGCTTTTATGTTTTTAATCTCATTCTTAGTGTGAAAATGTTGAGCTTTAACTTTAGTTAACAGTCTCTTCCCAGGATCTTGTTCCATACATAGTTCCAGTCCTGAGCTGCTGTGCTCCTTAAAGCACCTTTTTGATACACTTGTTCTAACACAGACAGAGCTCCAAAGATCTCCTCTCCAGAGGAGAAGGATCATTATGGTCTCTCAGACAGTTCAGTGAGTGACATCTATCATGAAGCAATCACTGAAAACACAGACTAAAAGCCATGTGGATTTCTCATTTGTCCAAGAATACCAAGCTACTTACAGATAAGTAATGGTTACTTATGTTTTGAGGTAGCTGCTGAGTTAGAAAAGAAAGCATTCATTAGCCATCCCCTCAGGTACCACTGTTACCAGGACATAAAAATTTCTTATCTTTCAGTACTGAAATGACTCAGTTTGTCTTTGACTTCACTGGCAACAGAGAAGCATCATAAGATGGAATTCATCTCGCCCCACTTTGTCTAAATCTGATCTACTTCTTATGTACTTTTCATAGTCAGAAAGAGATAAATAGGCACTTCCATGGCACCTCTGTCCCACACAAAGCTTGACAGATCATCTCGTCTGAGTGTTGGAGGTAACTGTGAGATTTCCATGTTGAATCTTATGACAGAAAGAAGACTGTGATGATGAGATTTAGGGGAAGGAGATTGATATGAGCAGAAAGTAAAGAAAACAAGAACCCAGAGTAAATATGAAGGAAGTGTGGAACGAAAAAGAAATCAACAGAAAGGCAAAGGAGCTCTTGGAAAGCAAAGACACCAGCAAAACCCAGGGGTGCAACTGCACAGAGGTGGAAAGTATCTGTGCTGTGGCTCCACCAGTCACTGGAGAAAAAGTCCAAAACTGCCAGAGACTGTGAAAGTCACAAATTCAAAGAGTCTTGGCAAGCAACATCTGTTTCTTATTGTCACAAAATATTTTGCCAGTTGTGAAGGATATCATCTGTAGGGTTTTGCCACTTTAAGTTTCCAGAGAAGGAAACAATATTCAAGGGAAAGGGCCTTGTAAGTGTACATGCACATGAACCCATTCAATTATATTTTGTATTAGAACTTGTAATGAACACTGCAGTTTCTGCACTTCGGTTGCACTTTATGTGTGATTATTTTTCTTGTTCTCTCCATACATGCACATATGTAAAACCATATGTGTTTATTAAAAGACTAAGCTGCTACTGTCACAGAAGTAGAATACAACAAAAGGACAAAATACTGAATTTGGCAATAGCATTTCCCATGCTTTTACAGTACTGCATAAAACAAATCTATAAATTCTCAGCAGGTTCAGGGGGAAATTACTGCACACTGATAGCTCAACCTGAAAAGATATTTTTTTTTCTACATTAAGAATAAATAATAAAGATTATAATCCTGGCAGCAGATTTTTACACCTACATCCGAAGGACATGTAGGTTTATTACCTACTATTACGTACTACCTAGAACAGTGCAATGTCTTAAATGTGAACCAAATCTTTTACTGAGCTGCACTGCAGACTCCACTGCTGCAATCAATACTCCAAAGAGCCCTATTTTTCTTGGACAACAGACATACATATATCCGATATTTGAGGAAGCCAGGTGAATAAATCAATAGCTAAACAAAAATGCACTTAATCATATCTGGTTTGGACAGCTGCAGGTTGGAAACCTATATGGCCCACACAATGTCTTCTGCCTAAAGCTTAGACTGGAATCCGTGTTTCTTTCCTAAATGGCAACATCCTGTTGCTGGGAATCACTGAAGCTGGAGTGATCACAGTAGCAAATAACTGTGTGCCAGCCAGCCAGGATCTACTGCTCAAACTTATAAGTTCCAGTATAGTTTGGTGTTGGAGTTTCATATTTAGCATAAATATGTAACTTAATAACCACCAAATTATGTACTTTGTAAGTTTAACAGCTTTCCTGGAATATGTAGCAAAGATTCGCACATTCACTTTGACCTTTTATCGACTTGGCTGCATTTTCTTACTCAGAGTCAGCCCAAGGAGGAATTGAATATACACACATAATTTATCTTTCCTTAATGGTTTTAAGCGGTGACCATTATTGGATATTTCTCATGGTACTGCAAGTGATCATTAAACATACATAATGGCCCTACTAAATGAGTAGATAACTCTAATGCCAAAATTTTCCCCGTTCAAAAGTATGTTTGTGCATGGAATTGCTGCTATGCTTAAAGGTGCCCCGTTACTTGACATTACTTAATAAAGCCCTTTGAGATAACCACAGTGCGAGAGATGTTTTAGAAAGGCACAATTTTATTTCTTCTCTGCTTTAGCCCTAAGCGGTTCAGCATTATTTGAACATCAGCAACAGCACTTCTTTATGACTTCAAAGTCAGAACCTCACCTCAAATTGGCAGTGCACCTCGAGATTAAAACTGTGCCCAGCAGTCTGAGAAATGGATGTTTTCAGCAGAAAGAAGAGCAACAGGAGATAGCAACACGACAGTCTAAGACCACTCAATTAGAAGGTTTATTAAGGTTACACTAAGGTGCCTGTCATGAACACTCTCACAGGAAACACTTTAAGAAAGGCATGAGGAAAAGGGTGAAACTGCTAAGCCTGGAAATAGTTCTGCAGCTGTTATTAACATGGAAGAAGGGCAAGATTCCTCCCAATCAACTTTTTCAGTAGAAGGCTGTGTGTCAGGCGCACTGCAGCCAATCCCAGCCCAAGAAACATCTTTTATTTTCAAAACGTGTAATCCTGACAAGAAGGAAAGACAAATAGATGTCTGAGGTCTTCAATTTCCCACCAGTTACAGCTACTGTCTGTTTAGGAACGCGGTGAGAGGTCCCTTCTCCGCAGTAAGAGAGCAGAGTGTCTGTGGCAATCAGCCCAAGCCATGGGAGCTGCGAAGCGGCTGCGGGTGTTTCGGGGTGCCGCGGGTGCAGAGGTGACAGCAGCTCAGGCCGCGTGTGACAGGGCTCCTCAGCACCCCCAGTCCCGCCGCTCTGCCCCCGTTCCCAGAGGACGCGGAGCCGGCCCTCCATTTTTATTTTCCGCCCGTTATTGCGGAGTTTGATCAACTCAACAGGCGCTTCCGTCCTGCTGGTACGCGGAAAAAAAAGGAATTGCTCTCCTGATCCCACCTATTTCGGCGTTCTCCTTTGCAGACCCCTCTCCCCCGTGCTGCGCGCTCGCCCCACACGGCCAGCGGGCCGACACCTGAGGGGCCCGGGCGTGCCGCACGCAGCTCCCCGGCCCGCGGGGCCCCCTCCGCCCGGCCCCGGCCCCAGCCCCGGCAC